CCATTTTAGTTTCTACTTTCCGGATGAGCGTGGCAAGTTCTCTCCCCGTCTTCATTTCTCTCCCCAGAGATTTGGGCAGGTCGTGGCATTGGATTGCAGCTGGATGGACAGGAAAAAGGGTGGAGTTGGTGGAGTTCAGAGACCAGACAGTTCTGTGGTAACTATTAAAGTTCACTTCGTTAATTCAAAGTTCACCCAACCAAAATTCGTGTCTGAACACGTAAATGGTAATTGTCAGTTTGACATTTGTTTGATCATCTGGCCGTCCAAGTCTCCTCGAGCTGGGCATGGCAGGCAGTTCATCCATCAGCATTCCTATCAGGTAGGTGTAGTTCTTCTTCTGGAATTAAAAATATGCTGCCTTCCAGCCAGATGCCATTTTCTTTATTATTTATTTGTGCTAGTAAGTAAATTGAAAATTGTGGGGTTTTTTTTTAAGGGAGAGGAGCTGCTGCAGCCTTGTGCCATTAAGTTGTCAGAGCTGAGCAGATGGAGCACGAAGCATTTCTGCAAAGTTGTTCTCACTGGTCTCATTTGGGAAAAAAAGTCTCACCTGCAAGAGAAAGGGATGAAATCTTTAATGGAACAGGGCAGGTTTCTTGCTGTGTACAGACTGATTGAAAGTAGTTGATCTGTTCTTTATTTTTTTTACTCTTTAACCAGCTCTCCTTTGCTGAAAGAGTGTAGGTTTGAATTAAATATTAGGAAGAAATTCTTGGCTGTGAGGGTGGGCAGGCCCTGGCACAGGTTGCCCAGAGAAGCTGTGGCTGCCCCATCCCTGGAAGTGTTCAGGGTCAGGTTGGACAGGGCTTGGAGCATCCTGGGATAGTGGAAGGTGTCCCTGCCCATGGCAGGGGATGGAACGAGATGATTTTCAGGTCCCTCCCAACCCAGACCATTCTGGGATTTTATGAATGAGGAATGTCGTTGTTGGCCCCATTCCATGCTGGGCAATGGGAAGAGCAGGGTGGCAGGAAGGTGTGGAAGAGTGGAATGAGTTTGCCTTAGGGAAGAAGGCGATGACAAATCTGTGCTGAGCTGCATCAGCTGCAGGATGCACTTAACCTTTCACTGTACCTACAGAAAGAGCCTCCTCACTGTGGATTTACAATTTCCACGCTCGTGCAGATACACCAAGCTGGCCTTTTGTTGCCTCACAGCACTCTGTGGGTGGGATGAAGGCCTTGTCCTGGCTGGAGGAAGGCAGAGCAAACCCAGCATCCAGAGCAGGCATTTGCAGTGCTCAGGAAGGGCTGCTGTCTTTGCTTCTTGGCTCCATTCCCCTGGGCCCCCTGGATCTGTCTGATGCACAGGATCGCTTGCAGTGGGGACTGTCACCTGCTGCAGTGGGGACCTTGTCCTTAAATGTCTTCTCTGGCTCCTGAGATAGGGATGTCTCTGATCTCAGGCAGATGTGAAAGCAATTAATAGCATCTGTCAGATCAAAATCTTTTCATCCTCTGAGCATGACTGATGTTTTCTGATTTCCCAGAGTGAAGTTTGGTGCAGCCCTCTCGGCCTGTTGCAGTTAAGGAATTGCAGGTGTAGTGGCTTGGGGAGGTTACCAGGTTAGTTCTTAACCATAAAACCATCCTTCATCAGTCCTTTGCCCTGCACTTGGGGGAGGGTGTGTGGGATCCTGGGTGCCACATTTTTACCACTGGTCTGGTGGTGACAGTGGGGAATTATTAAATGAGAAGGTGATGGATGAACTCTCCATTCCTGTTCTGAAATGAAGAGGTAAATGCTGGATTTGGAAATAAAGGGAGATGGGCAGGGATGAGCGATAAAGTGCCACGGAAAAAACCAGAATTGCTTTAACTGCTGATTAAAAGAGAGAATATGATTAAAACAAGCTGATAAGATGAAACCAAAGTGACAAGATAAAGCAGCAGGGCATCCAAGAGGGGAAGGGGAAGGCAGAACCGATGGCAGGAGGGCATGAATTATTGATTGAAATCTCCACCAGAAGTCTTTGCATTTTCTTATCTGGGAAGGGAGAGAATGAATGAGAAGCGAACAGAATTATTAAGCAGCTTTATCACTGCATTGGAGTGGATAATTAGGCAATTAGGATTACTAAAAGTTGGCAAAGCAAGAGGCCTGGAGGTCTTGTGCTCCTGATTCTAGAGGGGGGTGGTGAGGGAAGCAGGGAAAAGCCTTTGGCCAGAGATTTGATGGTGCATTATGGTCAGATGGAAAGGCAGATTTTGAAGGGGAAAGCTGGGCAAAAATGACTAAAAATAGCGCATTGTGAGTGTCTCAATTCATCCTGGGCTGCTCTGACACCACTGCCAGACAACCGTGCTCCTCCTCTGCGCTCCTGACCAGCGTAATCTTCAGCTATATGTTATTTAAAATCAATTTGCAGAGATGCAGACATTATATAAATCACTGAGGAAATGTCAGATTATGTATTGTAATTTGCAGAAGTGCTCCACACTGATCTTCCTTAGCTCCCCATGAAACCAAGGGATCAGAATTAAGCCGAGGCAGAGTTTGGACTGTTCACCATCCTTAAAATGCCATGGAAGATGAGCCAGCACTGCAGACACTTGTTAGTAATTCACACCCAGAGACTGTTGTAATATCTTCAGGACATTCGGTGATCAGGGAAGGAGAAAAAAAGGGATGATGAAAAATACATGGAGTAGAGTATTTCTTACTAATTATTTGCTTGGCCTTGTTGGAAAGTCACCCGGTGTTCTTGGAGAGCGTTGCCTGTTCATGAGAAGGTGCCAACCACAATGTTCCTCTTCCAGGACCAAGTTCAGAATATTAATCATGGATAATGATGCATAATTAGAGTCTGAAGCCCAGAGTTAATTGATGGTAGCTGCTTAGCATAGATATAAATTCTGACTTGAAAATAGTGCCTTGTCTCCCGCCCACACCCCACAGGGTCCCCAGATGGGTAAGGAATTGTTGCAGTAAGTGCTTGATTTGGATGACACGGTGACCTGCCATTTCCTCAAAGTTGTTGAAGCAGTTTTGTGCATTAGTGACGTGAGAAGTGTTTGTAATTCATGGTAATCCAGAGCTCCTTGACTTGTCCTGGCCCCAGCCTGACAGGCTGCAGAGTCCAGGACCTTGACTGTGACGGCTCCGCGCTCTCCGCTCCTTCCCAGGAGAGGTGAATCCACTGCTGCCACACACCAGTGCAGCTCTGCCACGACATTCAGGGGTTTTTTGACCTCCTGCTGCCTTAATCTCATGAACTTGGGGCCATTATTTTCCTCTAGCAGAGGTCAGAGGCTGTGACCCAGCCAGCCAGGCTGTGGCCGCATTGGAGCATCCCTTGGACAGCCACCCAATCTGGGTGAAATCACCTTGGGTTGTTTTTCCTGTGGCCTGGGTTGGTTCCCAGAGGCATCTGACACGTGCTCTGCGTGGCTGAAAACGAGCTTGGTTTTAATAATAAGCAATTACGTGATGGCAAACAAAGATTTGTGCTGTGGGGTGTGCGGGTCCCAGCGGACGCGCCGCCGTTGTTCTGTGGAGCAGAGGGGAACGAAGCCAGAGCTTGTGTTTGCTGGAAATAGGGAATAGAACATTATTAGATCAGCCCCTGCCTCTGCCTTGGCAGAAACACTCCAGAGTTAATTGCTGCTTTAGAGCAGCGTTGTTCAGCTGCAGGAAAGTGGGTCGGCTGTTGAGGAGATCGCTGATCCCATATCATTGCTGGGAAAGACAGAAAAATAGGCCTTGTGCTCAGCTTGACTTTGGGCCAGCCGAGCAGCACAGTGGCTTCCATCGGCGGTGGGCACACACTGGGGGTACCTGTGCAGCTGTCTGGGGACACAGCTCTGCACAGGGCACGCCAGTCCAAAGCCCTGTGGTCCTGAAGCTGTGGGTGTCACCGTGGGACTGAGCCACTCCTGGCAGTGTCACACCTGGAAACCCAGCTGAGAAACCTGGCCCGGGGGGGCCACGAATTCCCTTCCTCTCCAGTATTCCGCTGGGAGCGACTTCAAGGCACTCGGGATGGTGATGGCACCTCCATAAATTGAGTTTACTCTGGCTTAGTCCATGCAGGGCAGGACTAATGGTGGGAAGAGCTGATAAAAGCAGACCCCTTGTCCTCTCCTAGTGCTGTGGGTGTCTCTCTCCTGGATAATTCCTCTTTTTTCCCAGGCCCTTGCCAGATGTGAGTCTGTGTGTGTGCACCTGTGCCTGTTTCTCATGTTTTCACCTCTAGGTAATTCAGGATCCTTCTGTTTGGAAAAGTGTTAACATTACTGACACTTAAAAGGGAAGTGTTCAAATCACTTTGAACTTGGGGTGCTGTATCTGAGGCATAAAATAACCATTTACTGCTGGCCCCTCCCCACTCACAGCAAGGCTCCTTTCTCAATAATAATAACCCTAATACTGCTAATGCAAGCTTTGAAAGGACCTTCTGTAACAAAGCAGAACCTCAGAGAACTTACATTAACTCTTAGGAAAAGAAACTCGCTGTTCTGGCTGTGTAAATTTACTTGGTTTGCCAGTTTAGCACCTCCAGTTTAGCTCCCCCAGCCCTTTGGTGGCTTCCCAGAGCAGGCAGTGGCTCTTCCAGAAAAGCAAGGGAATAAAAGACAGGGAATAATACTTTTTATACTTTTTAAGCCATCATTACAGGCTGTACCAAGTAGAAAGAAGAATACCTATGTGGAGGAGGCCAGTGGAAGGGGATACCTGCACTATCAGATTTTCTTCTTGTCCTTGTGTGAGAAGTAAAAATCCACAACCTGAAATACTGTTTTTATATTCCTCTTGTAACCACTCTGAAGGTGTGAATTGCTCAGGCAAAAGTTGAGCAGCTTGCCTGCCAACTCACTCGAAGAGTTGCTCGTGTTGATTTTCAGCTGCATTTGCTCTTGCTCAGGAATGAGAGGGAATCTAATGTAAAGTCTTATCAGCTTGTCAAGTTAATTACTGTCTGTTTTAATATTATCATTATCACTCGTTACTAATTAATGTAAGTAACATGATTACAGCTTTTTTGTCTTATTTTTCAGTGAGAAGCTGGATGGAGAAGCTGAAAGATAAGGTAGGAGGCTCAGCGTTTCAATTCCTTTCAAAGCAAAACATGTTTACTTGCAGGAATAAATAAACTCCTGTCAGTGCAGTTCTTTATCTGTACAAAGACAATTGAGAAAGGGCTTCAAAATTTATCTGGGAGGCAAATGAACCAGGTGCTGTTGGTATATGGTGGTGTGAATCCACAATACAGCCCTGATGGGCAGCAAGTTAAGAGCAGAAGGAGGGACAGGGGTATTTGATTGATTCCTCTGCACCAGAAAATGACCTTGTTGTGAGACAACCAGAGTTAGTTTTTTAGTGCCCCTTAACTTATCCTAGAATAGTTTGAGGTTGAAGGGACCTTTAAAAGGCCATCTAGTCCAACCCCCACTGCATTGAGCAGGAACATCTTCCCCTAGATCAGGGTCAGGTTGCTCTGACAGGGTGCTGTCCAACCTGACCTCGAGTGTTTCCAGGGAGCCCAGGGTAAGGAACTTTTCTCCACACCTTTTCTCTAAGTGCTAAGCTTGATTCTGAATCCAAATCAGGAGATTTTTGGTGCTCCTCTCTGCCTGTGTGCCATGTGTCTTGGACAAAACATCCCCTCCCTCCATGTGCACGAAGAGCTGCAAAGGAAGGAAAAAAAGAGTAAACACAAGAAGACTGAGAAGATAACATGCCCTGATCATTTCTCCCTGGCATCACAGGGGGTAATCCACTGGAATCAAGAGCTGTGCCATCCACAGGCAGTGATGGTTTTTTAGCCTCTGCTGCCCTGGAGCAAATATTAACATTTTGAAACAGTTGTGAAGCCTTCCAAATGTTGTGCTGCTGGTGCCAGAGCTCCGAAGCTGGAAATGAAGGTGGCAGTGGTTGTTTTAAGGCAAGAACATTTTGTCAGTCAACAAGACTTGGAAATTCTTGAACAGGGTCGGAGTCAATAGATGAAAAAAAACATCACAAGGAAACTCTGTAAAATACATCTGTGAGCTTAAGCTCACCCAAGGAGCCCAGCCTTCCTCACCAAGGTTCAGCAGCACTTTACCATCGAGTCAGAGCAGAGAGATGGGGTCTGGGTATCAATTTTCCAGGACAGGGGAGTGGAAGGGTTTAAGTGGGTTCCTGCCCAGCCTTTTTTGAGTTGCTTTTCTACCCACACTAGGAAGGAGGAATGTCTGGTACGAGCTCTGCTCGTGGCAGAGCTCTTTGGCCTGGGATTCAGCCCGAGCGGACGCTGAAAGGACAGAGAATGGTTTTCCCAGTGAAGGTAAAGAGCAGACACCAGGGCTGGTTGGGTGCCTGGAGCGAATGCAAGCATGCACAGGGCACCTGCCCATGCCAGCACGTGGCACACACGAGCTTGGGGACATCACTGTGTTCTCACTGAAGTGCAGCTTTCACTTCTTTCCTCGTGGCGCCTTGGCCTCCTCTGTCCTTCCCCTTTGCAGAGGGGGTGCTTGTTCCGTGTTCCAACCTCTTGCAGGTCGATCCTGGACTGCCTGGCAGTGCCCAGCACAAGCACTGGTGTAACTGAGGATCCACTGGTGTCCACTTAAAAGAGAGATTTGGCCCTGAGCCATCTCCCTCCTTTGGGGAACAGCAGGCACGTGGAGGCAAACCTTTCACCTGGCTCACATTTTCCCTCAGAAAAGCCCAGACAAAAAGCACTCTCCCACCCCCAACCCAGTGCTGGTGTAGCAAATAAACCTGTCCACCCCATTCCCTCCTCTTCTTTGTTGAGTTTATCAGCACCAGTTATATGTGCCCTACTCATTTGCCCCTTCCCTCTGTTTTACAATCCCTCCATCCAGAAGAGTGTCCTGGCATGTGATGGCCCATGACATCCCTGAGAGATACATCCTTCTGTGGGACCAGGAGCAAGGGTCAGGGACAGGTTTCTGTCTGGTCTCCTGCAAACACTGTGCAAGTGTTGCATTTGGTGTGGTGAATAATGGAGATGAGGTCCCCCTGAGGTTGTCTTGCTGTTATCTCAGAGCCCAGGAAGGTCACGGTCGTGGACTGGGTGCATTAAAAGCACCCCTGAAGAAGCTACATCTTCCCCATGGGAAAGGGTCAAAAACATGGCTTTGGAGCTGCCTGTGAAGTGGGGTTTTCTGTCAGGCAAGTGCAGAAGCTCTCAGGAGTTGGGCTGCACAACACAGAAGAGCTGGGTCTGCATCACACCTTTTGGGGTATAAAACACTGATCTGGGTTTTGGGGGAAACCCCTAAAAGGCCATGGGCAGGTCAGGTGTGATAAAGGCTCACAGACAGGCTAAGGAGTTTGTTGTATTAAAAGTAGTGATTTCTACGTGGAAACTCAACTGGGCAGCAGCTAAAAAGCCATCTCCAGTCACTGCCTGTGCCAGCAGCAAAGTTCCAGAAATAGAAAACCCCACGCTGCACTAATTAGGTCACCCAATTAAGGCACCTTAATTGCCTCGCAGAGATAGAGCCTTTTTAGCTGTGTTCTCACTAACCTCCTTTTTTTTTCTTCAGGAGCTGGGTGCAGGGGTGCAGCCCCCTCCCAGCACCTGTGCTGAAGGGGGGATGGGTTTTCTGGGAGGGTGTTGGGGAACCTGGACAATGCAGCTGAAGATCCCTCAAGCCTTGGGATCCAGACACAGAGGTGTTACTATTTAAAGCACTGAGTAGGGTTTGGGAGAGCTACCCAGCCCTTGTTAGCATTGTGTCTGCCCTAGGTGAAAGCAGTTATTTTCATTCTCCAGGTAAGGATACAAAGGCAGGGCAGGGCACCTGAGTAGCTTCTTTTTTTTTTTTTTTTTTTCCCCCCCCCTCTCCCACTACGTGAATTATGGAAGAAAGGAGTAATTCTGGTGTAAGTGTGTGCTGTGGCTCTGTGCTGCCGTTTGGGAGTGCAGATGAAGATGAGTGGTTGTAAGCAATGGGCTGTGAGGCTCTCTAAGAGCTGGCTGATAGTCCTCAGCATTGCTGCATCTGTCCCTTGGCAGGTGTAAACTCTGTTTTGGGGGGTGGAGATGGCTTAAGGTGAAGCTGTAGTGGCACAGCAGAGTGAAGGAAGGCAGAGCTTCTGGGGGAGGGGGCCAGGCTGTACCTGCCTCCCTTGCAACAGTGGGCCCCCCAGCCCCAATTAGGTGAGGATGCTGAAGCAGTCTGGCACTTACAAAATTTAGGTTCATTTTCGTTTAAAGCAGTAAAATATATAAAATAACAAGCGCTCGGGAATATTTTCTTAAGGGTTTAAAACGTTTAGATGTGTCATTTTTAAATTAGTCTTGCTATCTATATGGTTTTTTTAACGGGCAGTGCAAACATGCAGATCACAGCAATGGAATTAGAGCTGATTTACTTTTGCTGTGCCTCCCTTAGGGCCAGCTGAAGGTGTGTGTGCCCTCCCTCTGTGTCACCATCCTGCCCCCATGCAAGTGACCCCTTCCCATGCGAAGAAAAAGTTTTTGGCTCAAAGGTTTTGAGTACAAAGTGGAAGAGACCCGGGCTGGGCTGGGCACAGAGAGGGCAGGGTGTCCCTGCCCATGGCAGGGGGTTTGGAATGAGATGATTTTTAAGATCTCTTCGAACCCAAACCATTCTGTGATCCACCTGTGCCTTTATCTGTGATGGTAGTGGTACGTGGGGAGCTCAGAGCAGCACTCAGCCTGCTTTGCACAGCATCTGGTGAGGCTGTTTGCGTGGTCACAGATCTTTGGTGTGACTTGAGACTGCCTGGCCTTGGTGGTTGAGGTTTTCCTTTGCACTTACACCCATATTGATGGAGACTTCACCCAAATTGTTCCTTCTCCTAAATCTGGGCAAGCACTGCAGGTTCTCAACTATCAACAGTGCACATCTGTTAGAAAAAGCTGAGGGTGAGGGAGCTGTGGTGGTTTGACAGCTTGGTCCTGGAGTGGGGCTGGCTGGGGCTTGCTTAGCCCCTGGGACCAGGGCTCACCCCATGCAGGGAGGTGGGAGGGACTCAAATCCAGTAAACTTCGAGGAAAGCACCACAGGGACACATTTCAACCCTAGAACTGCTGAAAACCGACTCTGAAAGGATGGCCTGGTGAAGTGCTGCTCTGCTTCTCCCTCCCACTCAGGCAGGATACATGTCGGGGATGCTGGTTCCCGTGGGAGTGGGAATAGCCGGAGCCCTGTTCATCCTGGGAGCGCTCTACAGCATCAAGATCATGAACCGCCGGAGGAGAAACGGCTCCAAGAGACATAAAAGGAAGGTATGGAAACCCCAAAGAAAGACCCCCAACCCCACCAGTCCTCCCATGAACCCTCTTGGCTGTAAAGCCAGCACAGTCTGGGGATGATTGAAGTGCCCAGGATGTCTTGGTTACGGGATGGGAGGGATCCAAATGCTCTCCTTTTTGCATGTGGAGCTCTTTTCATGTCTCTTTTTCCCCCCCAGCAGAGGGAGTTTAACAGCATGCAGGACCGAGTCATGCTCTTGGCTGACAGCTCCGAAGATGAATTTTGAACCGGACTGCAGTGCCCTTGTGACTTTTCCAAGGAAGGGAGGGAGAGGGAGAAGAAGAACAAGAAGAAGTGACTCTGTGCTGCATCCCTGCTCTCTCCACCGCCCCAGGGCCCCAGCAGGGCTCAGTGCCCTGGCCAAGGCATGCTACGCTCTTCGTGTCCCGCCAGTGATGTTTGTTTGGTACAGTAGTGGAGATTTCACATTTCAGATCCACAGCGCGTCTCGTTACAAGCTGGAGCTGATCCATATGGATGATTATTTCCCTCTCACCCCTGGTGTACTGTTTTGGTCCTGGCTGGCAGTAATCTAATCATAACAATAGCTCTCACCTAACCCGGGAATGGAAATCTTTACTGTGAATGACTGCTGTCCAATTAATTTTAAATGTTACATTACCTGAGCTAGAGTTCATTAGTGCTGAGATTAGCTGCTCTGCTTAATTAATGAGTTGTACACCTGAGCTGTGTCCCTGGCCACCATGAGAAGTGCCCATGTACAGTGTCCTTGATTGGGTTTGAAGCACATTTCTGCACTTGGGTGCCCGACTCTCACCCCTGCTCTCTCCCCTCAGCTCTGCTCCACACTGCTTGGAGACACACGGGAATGGCCTCAGCACTTGATTTCCCCACAGAAATCCTGTCCATTTTCAACCAGCACTGTCTGTTACAGCACAATAAATACCAGCGCTCGCCTCCTGACGGGTGGCCTTGCATGGATCTCTCAGCTTTTGGTCGGTGCAGGTCAGGGAAGAGGCAGGTCAGAGGCTTCCTCAGCTCCTGCCCCCTGTTTGAGGGGCACTAGTTAGTGGTTCATCTCTTTCCAAGGCTGCATTCCCATAGAGATGAAAGTGGAGCATCTGCCCCATTTACCCGCTGGAAATTGCATTTTCAGCCCCTGGAAGCAGCACCAACAGCAGCACCTTTGGGGGATTTGGGTGGGTCTCGTGTTATAGAATCACAGAGTGGTTTGGGTTGGAAGGGACCTTCAAGACCATCTCATTCCACCCCCCCTTCCACTATCCCAGGTTGCTCCAAGCTATGTCCAACCTGGCCTGGAACACTTCTGGGGATGGGGCAGCCACAGCTTCTCTGGGTAACTGCTCTCCAGCCCCACAGGGTACAGAAAGGCACTAAAGGTTGTGGAGCAGGGGACTGTCACTTTGAGGGATTCATGGCTAGCAGTGGGAAAGCAGCCACAGCTGGAGAGGTGTTTGATGTGAAATGGCCACACTGGGAACCCTTGGCCGTGGTGGGGAAGGTGGAGCTGTAGGACAGGTGGATTCAGGGGTCGTGGAGGTGAAGCCAAGGGTGGCACAGGGTGAGGGCAAGCTGCTGTGCTGCCTGGGTTAGCCCTGAGTTACAGGGGGAGGCACAGCCAGTGCCTGAGATGTCACAGGCACCAGAGAGGGGGAGGCTGATGTTGCTTTGCACAGAAACGCTGCCAAAATAGCGGGAAAAAGGGCTGGGTTACTTGATCTCCGCTGCTGGTTATGGGGTTACTTCAATCTGACCTTTTGTGCAGAACATCCACGTTTCTGAGGTGGGAATCACTGTTTTGTGGGGAATCAGCCTTTGTGCAAGGAACAGTGACTGTTGCCAGAGGAGGCCTGATGAGAGGAATAAGGGCAGACCACACATCTGTGAGATTAAATCCCACTGAGCCTTTGAAGAAGTGGAGGGAGGAGAGTTTGAGGAGGGGCAGGTGCAGGATTTCATTCCTTGTGAAGGTGGAAAGATGGTGGAAGGTAGATGTTGATGATGGGAAGCAAATGCCTCATGGCAGTGTGAGTGGGATTGCAAGATAGAGAGGACATTGGGAAGCCCCTCCTCAGGCTGAGTTCTCTTTGAGGAGGTCAGGGCCTCGTCTGGACATTAAGACCAGGAGACTGGTCCATCAGCGTGCTGGGGAAGGTCTTCATACCCCAGTCCCCCCAGGTCAGGCTTTCCCAGACAGGGCTCCACAGTGCATCTCTCCCTTTTTGTTCCTGAAACTTTCACCAGGAGAATCTTGCCCTGCTAAAATCAGCCCACATCTGTAACAGGCACTGAGGGGCAATTCACCAAGTCCAGGTGCCCCTTCCCGAAATTAAAGCCTCTTTCTCCCGTAATAAGCGATCACTCCAAGTTAAGGTGAAGTTTTCCTTCCAGACTCATTTGTCCCTATTTCTTTCTCATTCCTAAGCCTCTTGGAGGTGCTCAGGAAGTGTTAGCAGTCCAGGTGAGCGTTGCTGACTGCCTTGCAGCATTGGAAATCAGGATATGTCGTCCCTTGGGCTCTTTGGTGATTTATTCCTGGCAAGGCACAGTGGGGGCTGCAAAGTGAAACGACTTCTCCATTCCAGGTTGCTGGAGTTCATCTTCAGAAAGGCTTGTTTTTCAGGTACAGTGCCAGGCAGGCTGGAAATGAGACTCAGGCAGCTGCAAGGTGGTCTTGAAGTGCTTTACCCTGGCCCAGCATGGGAGGCACAGGGAATCAGCAGTGATAAAGGGGCTTGGCCTCTGCAAGAGGGAGCCTGTCTTGGAGCATAAGTTGTGTTTAGTGTCCAGTAAAATGCAGAGCTGCTGGGCCTGTCAGGAGGAGGAGGGGGGATGGCTGAGCAAGGCTGCAGGCTGCTGGTTTAAGTGCCCCAGCTCTGGCAGCACAGGAGGATCTTTCTGGATGGGCTGTCAGTTTGATGGATTGGGAAGGCGGGTGGGGAGGTGCCATGGCCTCTGGTTGTGCTAATAAATCCACAGTTTGGGAAACACTGTGGCTTTCTGCAGTGGCAATCAGTCTCCCATGTCTTCAGCTTAACCTGGAAGGCAGTTGGACAGTCAGAACCAGCCTTGGATCCCAGGGAAGCTTGTGGGAGCCTTTGGAGCACAGAAGGGTTTCCTGCAGTGCCCCCAGCATCGGTGCAGTTTGTGAAGGTCCTGAGAGCACAAGCATCATTCAGCTCCTTCTCATCCAAGGCCAGTAGACTTTGGATTGGGCTCTTACAATTATTCTCTATACAATTCCTGGAGTTTAATTCATTTCCTTGAACACAGATGGCAGGGGGAGGGCAGGAGGGGTTAAGGTGGGAGCTGAAGCTCCAGCAGCTTAACGCTCTGCTGATTTAATCTGTACCTCTGCACTGCCAAACAAGCAGATTCTTTTGAGAGAGACAGGACAGGAAAAGCAGCCAAGAAGGATCCTCCTCATCCTCATCCTCTGTGGGTGAACTGCAAGCCCCTGAGTGCTGAGGTGACACGGGCACGGCTGCAACAGTGACTTCACTGCAGCAATAAAATAATCCCTCGACTGACACAAGACAAGCCCCTCGCCTCTGTTTTGCATTTTCCTGATAGCACAAGCCAGAATTTCCTGAAGGCATCACACAACAGCATCTCTAGCCCCATTTCTGATTCTCCCATTTCCCAGGAGGAACCAGGCTGGTGTGCAGCTCTTGCCCTGATGAAACGCACCTCTTCTATACAGCTGCTGATTTTTAAAGGTGTCTCCAAGGCCAGATGTTCCCCCTTGGTGAGGTTTCTCTGGACTGCACTGCTTCCATAGGGTGATGTTAGCAGTCCTCATGCTTCCTTGTGGTTTTCTATTTCGGACAGGAACAACTCCTCATACTGTTAACTATGGAATGTAGCACTTTGTTAAATGAAAACGTTGGGAAATAAAAAGCTGTCCATCATAGCTGACTCTGAGCACCTCGTCTCCCTGGTCTGTGGGTCATGGCATTCTCTGTCTCTCAGGTAAAGCTGTCAGGTGATCACTTGGAAGATCTGAGTGTTGTGTTTTCTGTCTCCACACTGCGTGGCCTGTGCAAGGACTCAGGCTGGGCTTGCAGGGGTGATAGGAGCCCTGGGGAACCTCAGCCTGGGACTTTTTGGGTGGGATTTACCAGGGCATAGGTGTCTGCCATAGGCTGTGATGAATAACACCCCAAAGTCCCATGGTATGATTGCAGTAGCAGGAATGAGCCCCAGCACTGACTTTCCACGTGGGCAGAGGTCTCTTTGTGCACACCAGGACATTTTTCTTTCTGTTTTGTCCCATGAGCAAAGGTGTGTGCCCAAACCTCTCAAGACCCCAGTAATACAGCACTGGTGAGCTTTGAGTGTCAGCTGTAGGTGCTGCAAATGTTTCATAAAAGCTGCCTTATTGCAGATGAATATTTGGAGAGTCACAGAGTCAAGGAATGGTTTGGGTTGGAAGGATCTTAAGGCAATCTTGTTCCAACCCCCTGCCATGGGCAGGGACACCTTCCACTAGCCCTGGTTGCTCTAAACCCCATCCAACCTGGCCTTGGACACTTCCAGGGATGGAGCAGCCACAGCTTCTCTGGGCAACCTGTGCCAGGGCCTCCCCACCCTCACAGCCAAGAATTTCTTCCCGATATCCCATCTAACCCTGCCTTCTGGCAGTTTGAAGCCATTCCCTCTAGTCCTGTCACTCCAGGCCCTTGTCCCAGTCCTTCTCCAGCTCTCCTGGAGCCCCTTTAGGCACTGGAAGGGGCTCTGAGATCTCCCTGGAGCCTTCTCTTCTCCAGGTTGAACACCCCCAGCTCTCCCAGCCTGGCTCCATGGACCCACAATCCAAGCAGCAGGATCAGCAGGACTCGAGAGTGAGTAAAAGGTGTGTGGGCTGGGTTTGGAATTGTCCTGCCAGCCCTGTGTGCAGATGTCTTTGCATGCACTGAGTTCCTGCACGTGAGAACAGGGGCTGGGTGCACATCCCGTTTCCATGGAGGGATTCCCGGGGTGGGAATGTGAGCCCTCCCAGTGCACAACCAGTGGTGGGGGCTGCCTGCCCCTCTCCACTCATAGGAGGCAGCGAGATCTATTTGTCACTGTGTGTATTTTCTCTGATGGAAAGTGGCTTGTTCAAAACAAGATATTCCCAGGGAAAGAGCTGCCTGGGGATTGCACGAACACATTCCTTGCTAATTGGCAGTTGCCAAAAGCAATCTGTATATTCATGAAGCTGTTCTGCTGCACTGCTGGCTTTTTCCAATGGAAAAAACAAAACCTGCTGAAAGAAGATAAACAGTGACAATGTTTTTCTTTCCCCCACAGGTTTGTTTCCCAAGGAAATTACTCTCTGTGATCTCACTGCCTCAGTGGGAGCCTCTGTCCATCAGCCTGTCTCCTTCTTATGTCCCTGACTCTGCCAGCCAAGCCAGGGGTTTGTGAAAACTGGGAAGAGGAGAGAGAACAAGAAAAGCATGTGTGGAGCTGTTCTCAGGCTGCAGAAAACCTGCATATGCAGGTTATATGTGCCCTGATGGAGGGGGATGAGCTGGATGTCCTGGACATCCACTGGGATTCCTGCCCTGTGTGGGGTTCCCTGGGGCTGAGCAAAGCATGAGATGAGTCTGGCACGAGGCTCAGCTCAGTTCAGTCACAAGCTTGGGATTGGTTTTGTTGATGTGTATTTTGGAAGGACAAACCAAAAGTCATTCCCTGTGTGCTCTGGTGGTAAAGGCACCCCGTGAGTGGTTTGTCACCGCTGTGCCTGAGCCCATCAGGGTCTGTGATGGGGCCAGGCACAAAAAACTCCTTTGTTTTGAGGCAAGTCTCGTCCTCCACCTGTGAAACCCCCAGTGCATGTGGGGGTTATAAATGCTTTAGGGGTTGGACCTCAGTGGGCAAAAATTTAGTGCACAGGGATGTTGACTCTCAGCTCACTCAAGGCTTGCAGTGGTTTTCCCCCTTTTTTTTTCCCAATGGCGATGCTCTCCCAAGGAAAGGGTTTGGGTCTCAGCCAGCAGCAGGGAATCAGCAGAGATGAGGATGGGACTTCCCAGCAGAGGCGTTTCCACCAGTGGAAATCCCTTCCTCAGGGCAAGTGCTGGGCACTCCGTGCTCCACAGATCCACGTGGTATTTGCCACACAAATTTTCCACCTGCCAGGCACAGCGGTTTATTTCTGATTTACTCCGAGTTGCTTTAGCTCAGGTCTTTTCTCAGGCTGGTTTCCTGGAGTCTCACCCCTTGTGTAACACAAGGCTTATTGCCTGTGGAATCTGCTGAAGGACACAACAAGAGGCATCCTTGATGGATCTCTGGGAGCAAAGTCTTTGAAGCAGAACCCAAAGGTGGGATGGGAAATGGTGAAAATCTCTTCCCAGAGCAATGGCAACGTGCCACTCTCCTTCTGTCCAGCAAAAGGCTCCCTGCTGGAATAGACTGGGTTGCAATGCTGGTGTTTCTGCTTTTCCCATCAGGGAAGTAAGAGGAGCACACAAACCCTCTTGGCACAACTCTTGGGCTGCTTAGTCCTTGATGGGGACAGCCCTGAGACAGACAAGGAGTGAGACCAGCCCCATGCCTTGTAGGAGCTGGTGGATCCAGGTGCAGCCTCTGGCTGGCACCTGCAGTTTCATTCTGGGGCTGAAAGAAGGTCCTTGATGTCCAGGCAGGAATACTGATGGGTGAGGGGGAGTCGGCCTCTTCTCCCAAGTAACAACCAATAGGACAAGAGGAAACGGCTTCACGTTGCAACAGGGGAGGTGGTTTAGGTTGGATATTAGGAAAAATTTCTTCACAGGAAGGGTGTTCAAGCATTGGAACAGGCTGCCCAGGGCAGTGGTGGAGTCCCCATCCCTGGAAGTGCTCAAAAAAACGTGTGGATGTGGTGCTTAGGGACGTGATTTACCGGTGGGCTTGGCACCGTTAGGTTGGTCTCGATGATCTCAGAGGTCTTTTCCAACCTTAATAATTCTGTGATTCTCTGGCTCTGACACTAAAAAGTTGCCAGGGAACATGAGCAACTGCTGGCATCGCTGGGCTGCTGATGCAGCTTCAACACAGGGGTCTGTGGAGGGACATAAATGGAACTGAATGGCAGCTCTTGAGTGTCCCTTTCCAAAAATACCCCCGGAAAGGTCCTGGGTCTTGCACGTTATGCACGAAGGGACCCATGGGGTGCCTGGCACGGCTTCCAGGTACTGCTGCTGATGGATTTTCCAAATCTGTCGTACAAAACGACTGGAAGGACAAACGAGGCGCTTCACTGATGGTTTCATTTCATTTGGAGCCGAGGAAGTGGAAGTGGGTGATGAGAAAAAGGCCGGTGTTAACAGAGGTTCACTCGCACTGTTCCCTTTCGTGGAGGGCGAATGGGTAATGTGGTCAGAGGGAGAAAAGAAAAAAACCCTGCAAAAGTGTGACCTTATTCATAGAAGGAGGATATTCAGAAATAAATCAAGAATTTCCGCTGTAAATTTGAAACATCTGCTTTTACACAGGCGAAGTCTCCATAATGGAAAACATTTGGCAGCATCAGGCTGTAACCTGGCCTGGGATTTTGCAGTGAAAATGTTTAAATCACTGTGCTTAACTGTACTTTATATCAAGAGGCTGAAAATCCTTGTTTTAAATAACTTGTTGTCTAGCTTTTTTTTTTTTTTTTTTCATTTTTAGCTCTTTTCCCAAGGTTCATTCTTACTGGTCAATATGCCCTTTAAAACTTATTGATTTACCTCTGAAGATCATCTGCCCATAGAGCTGGGCTTTATTCTTTCCATAACTTACCCTGCACTTATGAAAGCAATTTCAGGGCTTCTGATTTCCCCCCCCCCCCGATTATTTATATTTTGCAGTTTTAATAATAAAAAACAGCAAATAACATCCTTTCATTCCACTGGTTTATCGCATTACACTGCAGTCTGGTTAAATTTCACTTGGATACAGACTGAAATTCGACTGGAGTACCCAGAAATTAGATTTTTGTTATAAGGTGGGAGCTGCACTGTTGCATGAACATCCAGGACTGGTTTGTGGTGACAAACAAGGCAATTTGGAAGGAGCTGGGGGGGGTTGCTGGTGGGGTCGTGGTTTGTGAGATTAAATAACACAGCAGCTATGTCAATCCCTGCATCCCAGAGGAATTTGGGGTTGCCCCCACTTTATCACTGTTGAGCATGAACAGTTAACTAGAGAATATTGATATTATATTCAAGACACAGCCATGGCCAAAGGCACCTACTTAAAAAAAAAAGGTACTCTGGTCTTGGGTTTAAAATGGAGAGGAGAGAGGCAGTAAAATGCATCACTGAATTTGGGCTGGAAGGAGAGAGGGCTGTGCTGTGCCTGCATGAACAATGCTGGTGGAGGCTTGTCAGGTGTTTTGTTCTTGCTGTAAAGTGATGGGAAGGGTTTTCAAACCCACTCACAGGATCTGCCTGTTGGGCAGGAGGTCACTGCCAGGGGGCTGGAGGAGGGGGATGCCGTGCACCCCTTTGCTCCTGGCTGTGGGATCTCCTCCCTGCCAAAAGCCCTGCTCAGTTTTATCAGCTGCCCATCAGTGTGGGACAAAAGCACTTTTCAACTTGTGGTGCCAAAAGTAAGTGGTTGTTTTTTTTTTTTGTTTCCCAAAACAGTAACTCTGGGACGGGCAGGGGTGACTTTGCATGCCTAGCTCCAAGCCAAAGGATTTTAGAATTTATAATTAAATTTTTCTCTGCAAAGACAAAACCAGCAATCAAAAGAGCCAAGAGAAATAACCCCAGTCCATCAGTGTTTCCAGGAGAACAGAGGAGAGGTCAGTGAATTTTTAGAGGCTCAACAGCAGTGAACGAGCTGGTGAGCATTTGATAGAGAAGACTTTCCTCTAAAATTGAGAGTGAAGAGTGTGGTTTAATAGCATGAAAAATGCAAGGCTAATAAAGGGATTTGGCTGCATGCAAGCTGTACAGCATCTG